TTGCTGCTTTGCTCAAGAACACAAATAATGTATAAATCAAATAGAATAATACAGTGCTCTAATATAATATTATAGGAACATGATCTTATGAATCGTATCAAACACAGTTCATCAACGAAAATTCCTTTATAGTTGGTTGTATGGAAAAAGAGGTCTTTGGTGGAGACGGTACCCGCAATCTGTTGCTATCTCGGCGACCGTCATACCGTTTAGACCACAGAGGCCGTACGATATCATTATTGATCAAAGACCATAATTGTGTCTTTCCTTTCATGCAACTTGAGGGCTCACACATAGTGGAGCCAATATTTAAGCTATACGTATTATGTAGCAGCTGGTAAATCATAGTAAATAATATTCAAATCAAGTTGCTGCTTAGCACTGGGAACACAAATAATAATAACAAAGTGCTCAATATAGAGGAGGAATAAGATGATGTAAATCGTATCAAACATACCGTAGTTCATTCCTTATTATAATCGTAGATATGAACAAAGAGGTCTGTTGATATGGTTTCATGTGTCATTGATTCGAAAATATAGATTTTAAATTAAAAATTATCATGTGTTGTATCCATGGTAATGTTAAACGGCTTGCGTGACTATGGAGAATACGATAGTTCCTGTGAGATATTAGTATTGCGGGCAGAAACTTGGCACTGACGATATAGTGCGGTAACTACCAGAAGTCACACGCTGGCAGGTTGAAGCAAGGTTTTAATACAAGTAGTAGAAATGTTCTAGAAATTCTTCAGGTGGAGACAATACAACAAGAAATAAATAAATATATTACTAAAGAGCAAAACAAAACATGAACACTATTAAACAAATTTCAAGGAAAAATAACATGGCAAAAATTACAAGAAAACTCAAACAGGGCCACTGTCACTCACAATGAATGTCCTATAAATACATTATTATTATAAGAGGATGATAAGTGGAATAACCATTTAAGGTGATAGACAGTTTAAATATATAAAAAAGGATAGGCCTATTACATATTTAGTGTTAAATACCTTTGTGTTGATGAAATTGTTGTAACATTGATTGACCTAATTAATAAATAATTTAATTAATTTATAATTTAATAACTTAAAGTCACGAATGTATCACAATCAATGGTCTTACGATGAGTTAACAATAACATATAGATGACACAAAGAAATGTGGTCTTTAAAGAGAGGTTACTTTATTATGTGTATTGTACAGTACCATTGATGGGTCAGAATAGAACACTGATTAGAATAACTTTAGGTTAAGGTGTGGCCACTCTGTCCAGTGCACCCATGTTAAAGTAATTAAGGACCAGCTCAAAAATTCATGTGTGCATTTTGGGATGAAAATTGAAAGGACATGGTCACGTTCACGGAAATTCGAATTTATTTTCACCCCGAGCGTAAAAGAAAATAATTAAATGGCGCAGCCTGCACATGATTGGTATTCAGGCGGAAAATAATGGAATCGCCCATCATACTCGGCGGTCGTATTGTTTCCGTAATCAGGCCCAGGCGGAGGTATTTACTTTATGGAGTGACTGCTCTAGTTAATATAGTAATTAGATCAGTTTCAATAAAGATTTGGCTGATGTAAATCAGCTCCAGGAACAAAAAAATCCCATCTTTACGTCTTTATCTTATATTAGGTAGTTTTCGTTTAACTTTAATGTTAGTACCCAACATGCAACGCGATAACTCCGCCCCTTTTGTAAACAAATCGAAATACGTATGCGCAAATCCGTAACTAACGTACGTCGAGCGCGTAAAATCCTGAAAATAACGTACTCCGCAACACAAGATGAATACATTATGCCATCATCCGTTAAGATTAACGTCGTGCGGCGGTGTCGTTCGGAGACGTTGACGAACCTGTATCATAAACTCAACCACAATGCCGCTTTCCCGATAAAATCAGGTTTAAGAGATTCAAATTTATGTTGCAAAATATGGCTATGGCTGAGGCACATAACTACCTAGAGTACGCCTATCATTCCCCCTCTGCCTTTCATAGGGGCTAGGTCTACTTATATGCGACCCAGGGCCGTGCCAAATCCAATACCTATCCAACAGGCATTGTTGAAGAGACCATTAGTTTAGCCCTTCTAAATTAAGCAAGCGATCAAACATGATTCCTTCTTAAGTACTATACTAACCTATAAAACCGAAAGGTCCACTGATTAATCTCAGATAAGATACTCCAAGAATCGAAATGCACGCCATCGTGTCGGGAATCAATATTTTGACATTAATTACCGTATGTCATCATCAGGAATGATGGTTTAAGATGATGATTTAATGTTGAAATATTGAATCCCGACACGATGGCGTGCATTTCGATACTTGGTGTATGTACTGTATTATACTATCTTATACTAATTTATCCACACATAATGGGCTGCGATGTATTGAAATAAGCCTGAATAGCTATAATAGGCAATGAACATGAATTTTGTGTGAATTTGGTTTTTGTGTAATAAATATAACTATTATTCTTACTATTCCTGAAGTTTGAATTTAAAATTCCAACTGTAAAAGGTAAAATTTAGCCATTTTCGGATGGGAGTGAAAAATGAATAGAAACCATGCCGAAATTAAAGGCATTTTTCTCAAAACTTGATTTAAGAAAGTCGATAAGATGGTAATTATTCAAACGGTCATAACTTTGCTTTCAGACATCTGATTGAGTTCATTTAACTGTCATTTTAAAGTAAATGATATCGTCGCTGTTCCCACGAACCGACGAATACGCAAAAAGTCACTTTCGAGAAAATCGGGAATGAAAATTTACACTTTCTTGGTGCAAATTTCTGACCAGAAAAAAATCGTAACAGGATTCTTTTTGTATTATGTACAATATATTAAAATAAATTGTACAGTAGTTATTAATCGCAATGTTTGTATTATTCTCATAATTAATTATTGATTAGCTAATTAAGATATTCGTCAGTTAGTGGGAACATTATTTACGACATCATTGGTAGTGTATGCGGTATTCAAAGATATTCATCACTTAGTGAGAACAATACACTGCACTGCCTATCAGGGTTGCCAGATACTGTAGCCGACAGGCTACACGGCCAAACACACGCCATCTCACGGCCAAGTTCGGCCAAACTTTTTTTAATATATGCTAAAATTCGGCCAGATTTTAATCCGAATCGAAGACAATTGTGGGTACATAATATTCATTTAAAATACAAAAATTACACGAAAATCAACTGTCATTTGTTTGATATTGAAGAAATTAAAATGATATACA